CCTTCCTCCCTTCCTCCCTTCCTCCCTTCCTCCCTTCCTCCCTTCCTTCCTTCCTTCCTTCCTTCCTTCCTTCCTTCCTGTTTTTGTTTGAGAGGGGCTCTCATTATGTAGCCTGGATTGTCCTCAAACTCACTAGTGGCTCTAAGCTCGTCTCAAACTTATGTCAATCCTCTTGCCTTAGCTTCCCCAGAGCTGGGATCACGGGCATTCACACCCATTTCTTAATTGTAGGGTATTTGTTTTGTTTGGGGAGGCCTGCCATTTCCTTGGGATGTATTTCAGCTTGGGAGAGCCGAGTTGTGAGGTTACACATGTAGAGATTGTCTAGTCCTAAACTCTTAATGGTACCAAAAGTAAAAGCAACTGTGAAAAGCTTCTAGATGTGCAATTAAGGCTGGAGAGGTGGATTAGTGGTTAGGGACCTTTAGAGGACCTAGGTTTGATTCTCAGAACCTACAAGGTGGTCCACGACCCTCTCTAACTCCAGTTCCAGGGGATCCAGCGCCCTCTTCTGTCCAATGTGGGCACTGCATGGATATGGTGCACACACGTAAAACATGTGCAGGCAAAATACACTCTTAAAAATATCTTTAAGCCGGGCAGTGGTGGTGCACGCTTAATCCCAGCACTTGGGAGGCAGAGGCAGGCGGATTTCTGAGTTCGAGGCCAGCCTGGTCTACAGAGTGAGTTCCAGGACAGCCAGGACTATACAGAGAAACTCTGTCTTGAAAAATCTTTAAAAATAAAAAGTGAAATGATCAAAGATGAATTCAGAATCAAATGTGTAATGAGCTTAGATGTTTCTGGCAGGTCATGTCCGTGTCACACTGCACCCCTGAGTCTGAACACACAATGACACCCGTATCACACATCTCCAGTGAAAACTCCCCCAAAGGCCTCAGCTGGGATTCCAGACTGTCCTGGGTAAAGTCTGTGCATACGAAGTCTTCTGTTCCTTTGGAAACACTATGGTTTAACTGTAGGAAACAGTTAATATTTTTCTATAGTATTTCCTCAATGTGTACCAAGTTTGTATACTTTAGATTTTATTATGTTAAAATGTTTCCTTTTAGTAGTTTCCATTTGAGTACTGACTTCAGTTTCATTTAAAAAAAAATCGTGTGATGGATTTTGGCTTGAGATTAGGACAGAATTCCTGACAGCATCTCAAATGGCCCTAAATAGACTTCTGCCACTTTGTACTGAATTCTTACGAGAAGGGAGTGGCCTTTTCAGCACTGAAAAGTTGAAAAAGTCAGACCCACAAGCTGTGGAAAATGTTGAAGACACTGTGTGTCTTGCGTTATCAGATGCTCAGCCACGATTTTATCCCCCACCCATGGTGTGTGTGTATGTGTGTGTGTACACTGGGGATCAAATCCAGCCCTTAATTCATGGTAAGTGCTCTACCACAGCTTCACCCCCAGTTCAAAATTTAATTCTTAATGTGAAAAGAGATGACTATGTTTAGTCTATTAGTATGCAAGTTTGCTTTTATCTTTAATAAATGGTAAAATTACACACACACACACACACACACGATTTTGAGAGCAAATCTCAAGCGAAGAAAAGGGTCACAGTGGAAAAGTTGAAGATGCCCTGACTTAGCGGATGTGGACATAAGCCTGCACCAGCTGAGTAAACACGTGACATTTAAACCAGTGGCAACAACCGGCCCCAATTCGGGTTGTTCTAATGTCAAGTTCTGTGTTGCTTTCAGATGTGACCGACCTGAGGAAGTTAAAATCCTGACAGCCAGAAACCAAAACACTGCTTTTCCAGATTGTTTATAAAGGGGCTTATGAGATTAAACTTTCTTTCAACTTCTTTTCTAATCAAGAAGGGGCCATCTGGGGTTGGTTAAAAAAAAAGTCAGAGGAATCAGTCTGTGGGCTTCTCACTTTGCAAGGGTTGGGGGCGGGGGTGTGGTGTCAGGAAAGTGTTTGCTATCAACTGAGGTAGTTAGAAAGGAAACTGGGCTTAGTGGGTGAAGGCGCTTGCTGCTAAGCCTAGTGTCCAGCATTTGATCCCTGGGTTATCCTCTGGTTTTCATCCATGTGTTCATGGTAGTACAATACACACACACGTGTGTGTGCTATATTTATGTATGATATATATATATTAATATATATAACAAATATATATCAATTAATCATCGCACACATGAAGTGAATTATGCTCTGTGGCTATCCCTCAGTGATAAGAGTACATGTCTAACATTTGTGAAACCCTTGGGTTTCATCCCCAGCACCATACAAATGAAAGAGAAAGAGAGAAAAAGCCAAGATGTTTTTTCTTTTGTTCCTGTGCAGTACTGGAGTTTGAGCACGGGTCTCTCTGTGTGCTGGGTAAGTGTTCTACCACGGGGAGTCACGTACCCAGCTCAGATGTGCATTGTAAAAGGAATGCTATCAACACAAAGACATGAAATATCTGGGGCTGGAGAGATGGCTTAATGGTTAAGAGCACTGACTGCTCTAACAGAGGTCTTGAGTTTAATTCCCAGCAGCCACATGATGGCTCACTACCATCTGTAATGGGATCTGATGTCCTCTTCTGGTGTGTCTGAAGACAGCAACTGTGTACTCACATGTATAAAATAAAACAAACAAAAAAAAGACATGAAATGTCTGTGATGGTAGTCATGCCAGTTACTTTGATTTGACCTCACTACCCATTGTATACGTATACTGAAATGTCACCCCGAGCCCCGTAACTATGTACAGTTTCCGTGTGTCAATAAATAACTGTTGGGCTCCAGGTATGGATCTATACAACCCGCAACTCCAGGATTTATGAAGTTCTAGCAGAAGAATCATGAATTTAAGCATAGGTGGGACTCTTATCTAGAAAGCTCTGGGCCAGTTTGGGCTACATGGCTGTGGGTCCAAGGTGGGTGGAGGTGCACACACACACAGATAGGAAACAGACTATATTAGAACAGAATCTGCATGGGTAAGATAGTAATCTCACGGTCCTCTGTCTGCATCCCTACTTAGCATTCATTTATTCCATCTTCTGTCTTTAGGCTCTGCTCATTGAGCAGTGCTTGGTCCTTTCAGCCAACAGGCCATGTAGTACACTCCGTGATAGGCACTTCAAGCCCCATCTTCCTGTCTTGAATAACAGTGGTTTCTGTGCACAGTGTTTTCAGCCTCCCGTGACTCACCAGGCACTTCGATAGCACCGGACTCTTGAGCTATGATTCTAAATAGATACCGTTTATTATTTATTTATTAATTTAATTAAAAAAAACTTTTGAGATTTATTATGTATGAGTGCTCTATCTGCATGGACACCTGAGTACCAGAAGAGGGCATCAGATCACATTATAGATGGTTGTGAGCCACCATGTGGTTGCTGGGGATTGAACTCAAGACCTCTGGAAGAGCAAACAATGCCCTTAACCACTGAGCCATCTCTCTCCAGCCCCGAGATACTGTTTTTTAAAAACTCATGTTAACAAAGGGGTTTGTCAATCAGTGAGAGAGAGTAAACCTCATTCATTCAGATGTTTAGTCTTTTAATAATATTTTTACACCAGGTACTATGTGCTAGGTCTTCAGAATACAGCACTGACAAACAAAAAGCCTTCCCTAATTTTCTAGAGGAAGAGACAGAGAGTCGAGGAACAAACCAATTCTTTTATGGCATAGAATCAGAGTAAAAGAATAGAAGCAAATCCATTTGGGGTTAGGGGTTGAGACGGTCTCATGTCATCCAGGAAGCCTTGAACTTTCTGTAGTCAAGAACGACCTTGACCTCTTCATCATTGACGAATATGTGCCATCAAGTCCGGTTTTATGCAGCGCTGGAGATTGAACTCTGGGCTTCCTGCATGCTAGGTGAGCCCTATACCAGCTGAGCCGTGTCCCCCAGCCCCAGATATCCTTCTGGACAGGGCAGTTAGCTATGCATCCATAGGGCTAGAATTTGGAATCAAGCAAATTGAAAGGTTATACCATATTGGCACTGAAGGGAGAGATGGCTCTGTGGACCCACGGCAGCTTCCAAACCTCTGTAACTCCGGTACCAGAGAATCCGACGCCCTCTCCTGGCCTCTTTGGGCACTGCATGTCTGTGGGACATAGCCCTACATGTAGGTTTAAACACCCATATAAATAAGGGGTGGGGCATAGTTGAACCAAAGAGGAAAGTAATAGCATCTCGTGGCTTGTCTAGGGT